ACATTTTGAATTTATGGTAAAGTTCTAAGCAATGTACAGTTTAAACAATTTCTGCTGCACCACCAGTAGCAGGTGATCGGTCGAGCTCTCCCGTATGAATTAATCAAGCTAACAACTAATATCAGGGTGGTGCTGGAAATAATGCCAATGTGACGATTTCTTTTGATAAATTGTTGCATAGGTAGGCAAGTTGTTGCCTGGGGTGGTAGCCTTGTTTATTATAATCCCTTTTCTGCCCTCCGGCCTTTAAGACTCCCTTCCCCCTTTCCCGAAGGCGGCTTTATACCATCTGCATTCCATAAATCCGGGAGCTCCCAGTAGAAAAGTCTCTTATTAACTTTTTACTTTAAATGGGCAGGCCTTTCATATTTCGTTCTGCCCCTCGGATTCTCGGAAACAGCCCCTTCGTCAAGTCGTTGCCACTTATTTGACTTTATAATGCCTTCTTTCTCCAATTGGTTGAGGCCTTTTTCAATACCGGAACATTCGAAAAACAATTTTCAAACGTTATGAATCAAAATGAAGATAAACTCGAGGAAAAGCAGTGTTTGAAAAAAAATATAGAAACTTTAAAGATAAAAAGGAGAATGGGGCAGTTATTAAATGAAAATGACGATATAGTGTTGAAATAGGCATATAAAAGATTTGGGAAAGTTTTGAATAACGATGATTGATGAAGGATAGAATGCGGCAAATGTTTATCTCTTCAGCCGATTGTGAAAGACAGAAAGAAAGAGAGAGAGTGAGAGAGAGAGAGAGAGAGATAGAGAGAGAGAGAGTGAGAGAGAGAGATAGTGAGAGAGAGAGAGAGAAAGAGAGCGAGAGAGACAGATTTTCTCTCGTGCCGTCGTTTCTGCCGAACAATATAATTCTAAAAGTTTGGAAAATGATTGCGATGGGTTTGGACGTCAATACAACTATGGGTTGTTTACAGAAGAGGATAGATCATAATTCACATCGGTTTGGGATTCTACAAAGGATGATTAATGTTTATACCTAAGTTAAACACGATATAAAAAAAAATCTAATTACCTAACATTGTACTAATCAATGTTGCTTCAATGGTAAAATGTTGTATTTGTCATATCACTCTCTGGATCAAGATCAATATGATCAGCATGCTAAAAATATTAAACAGATCTAACAAAAAGGGTGACAAATTTAGATAGGATGCCGTAAGGCACCTTTGTTATTTTATTTCCTGAGAATATAGCATGTTTGAATTTTACATGAAATGTCCTATCGACTGAATAATATGGAACGTTCCTCGTACATTGTACAGAACCGGTTTTTATCATCAATAGCGCGGATCTCTTTCGAATCCGGTGGCTAAAACGTGCTGATCGGATGCTTGGGCAAAGAGCTTTTATTTCTGTGGCGCTTTGTATTTTAGGGACGGTGCGGTACCTCATTACATATCAATGGCCAGTCAGTCCTCGCTGGTCATCACAAGGCTAGGTGCCTGTCGCAAAATCCAATCAGTCCATTCGCACAGTCCTTTGATCACCCTACCCTTGTAACGCGTTAAACGGTTTTCGGCCCTGTTTCAATTCCCGTCGCCCGCACCACAGCCCTTAATCCCTTGCCGAGGCGTTTGAAATCGAAACCTCGATTAAATAAAACTTGAGATTTAATTTTTTTTTAAACAGATTTGGTAGTAAAATTTAGTTCATTCTTGTCAACTGTATGGAAATTTTTTAAAATATTTACACAATCTACACACTCTATTACAGGTTCAACTTCAAAAATTTAAAATTGCTTCGAAACATAAATTAGAAAATTATGGGATTGTTTTTTTGGAGTCACTGGATTAAAGCGGAGAACACAATTACCCGATGCAACGCTATACGACGCTACCCGATGCTACCCGACGCATTGTCATGCTTTCGTAGTGCGTGCATATCTATGCGACGTCAAGTGCACGCCACGTACAGTCGCACATCGTGTATCACAATAATCACTATCACAATCGCAACGCCTCTTTTCTTCTTAATGCAGTATTTTGAGCAAAATCATGTAATAAATTGTTAGTTAAATTTAATGGGCACAACCTTGTAATAAATTGCTTGTTCAATTTAATTATTTTAAATAAAGTTATTCCGGTGTTTTGATAAATTTTTTACTAACCATCATAAATAAATAATTTTTATAAAAACATGAATTTTTGAATTTGTTTTACATTAAAATAGGAATGTTGTAATTAATATAACAACAAAATTACATGTACCTACTTTGAAATAAACTACAGAAAGTATGAGTGTCCTATCCTGAAGCTACTCGACGAAAATGGTATAATTTTATGAGAAAAAGCATGGAATAAATTGTTAGTTAAATTTTATGAGCAAAACCATGAAATAAATTGGTAGTTAAATTTAATGGGCACAACCATGTAATAAATTGCTTGTTCAATTTAATTGTTTTAAATAAAGTTATTCCGGTGTTTTGATAAATTTTTTCCTAATCATCATAACTAAATAATTTTTATAAAAACATGAATTTTTGAATTTGGTTTACATTAAATTAGGAATGTTGTAATTAATATAACGACAAAATTACATGTACCTAGTTTGAAATAAACTACAGAAAATATGAGTGTCCTGTTCTGACGCTACACGACGAAAATGGTATTATTTTATGATAAAAAGCATGGAACAATTGTTAGTTAAATTTTATGAGCAAAACTATGAAATAAATTGTTAGTTAAATTTTGTGAGCAAAACCTTGTAATAACTTGTTAGTTAAATGCATTATATCAAAAAATAGTATTCCGGTGTTTTGATCAATTTTCTATCAAACTATTAAAATTAATTTTTTTAAAATAAAAACTAATGAATAATTGATCTCGGTTAATTTTGTTTATATTAAAATAAGTATGTTGTAATTAATATAATGACAATAATAAATGTAGTTTGAATAAAAATATGAGTGCCCGGTTCTTTTGTTTTCGACTGTACTCAATGCTACCCGACGAAAATCTGGACAGTGGGGATCGCAGAGCATAGAGTAGGGTAGTGTTGCATGGCATCGGGCAGATGTGGTAATACAATCTTATGGAAAATTGGACTTTGGATATGCGTCGGGTAGCATCGGGTAGCGTTGCATAGCGTTGTATCGGGTAAGTGTGTTCCCCGCTTAAAACGTATACTTTCGTAGTTTCTTCCTGGTCTGCCAATGTTCGCTCGTTTCGTGTCAGACGTAAAAAAAATATAAATGACTTACATACTACTAGCATCAAATTCGTTTTAAATCATTTCACCAAGGTTGTGCTTCTATAAAAAAAATTCTCGTTGACCGGAATTGATTGTAATCTGAAAAAGCTCTCAACAAATTTGCTAGGTGACGTAGTACGTCCGAAAAAGAGTGTAACAGTTTTTGCAGTGTCACCATCGAAATATAACGCCTTGAGTTGTCATGGATGAAAAGTATCCATTTCTGTTCTGAAATACAGGCCACTTTTCTTTTATAGCCGAATCCGGGTCGAGTCTGGAACATTATTTTATGGAATTGACAGTTTCGTTTCTTCTTCGGTCAGCCTATAAACGGTAAGCTGGGTTTCATTTCGCTTTCCCCCTTCGTACAGCTTTATATTGAAACCACTTGTGGTTTAAAAGAAATCACGAACTATAACGAGGTCTTTTCAGTCTTTTCTGTACAGAATCCGTACAATCGTTCGTACATTTGAGTCCATTTACAGTAAAACAGTCTTCACTTCTTTTCAAATCGGATTTCAAAAAACTTTGGGTCGTAAAAGTTATACGCACGGTGAGCCGACAACACATTCCCCATCGAAATTTTGTAAAATTAAAAAAAGTCTCACATATTCAAAACAACGGAAAGAAAAGAAGTTCCAAATGATCAGAACAGCTTTACTAAAAGTTCATCAGACACCCATTAAACGATGTTTATGTTCAAAATAAAATTTATTATTTCTATTAAAATTCTGAATATCTTTCGAAAATAAAACGTTTCTGTCTGCAATCAGTTAGTTACTACTTACAATATAATTCCCAGACTTCAAAATTCATCCGTCGTTGGATCTGGATGTCATTACTTTGGTCTTTTTTTACGAATAGTAATTCATTATTTGGATTATAATTAGAGTGAATCGAAAAAAAAACGAAAGAGTAATGAAGATGGCAAAAATAGGAAACGCGTCTTGGAAATTAAAACGGCCATAAATAAGCAGTCCATAATGACCGGAAACTTCCCAATTACATGCCCCGTAGCACGAAAAGGGGAAAACGCCAAATTTCCTAAGACGGTTAATTAAATGAGTCGAAATGTTAATTTTGGTTCTTGTGGAAAGGGCAGCATCACAAAATTTGAATGTTTCTCAGGTTTGGGAAAATTTGAAAATCCGATCTATGATAACCGAAAATGAAAAAATTTAGATGTAATTTTTTTTGTGGCTGAATCACAAAATCCAGGAATGGTTTTAATATATAAGTGGTTACTATTTATCGTTTTCCTAAAGTTTATTTTTGTAATTTGTTCAAGTCGTGAGGAGCGGTCAAGGATGAGGTAGTTTAGAAAAACGATTTTTTTATTTTTTTTTACGACTTTCGACCTATGTTCGGGTCATCTTAGGGGCTTGGGTAAATTACAAACATATGTTGATTGGAAAAAATTTGATGTGAGATGTAAATATATATTGTATTTTTTCCAATCAACATATGTTGTCATTTACCTAGGTTCTGAAGATGATACGAACATAGGTCGAAACGTCGGCAAAAAAATATAAAAGGTTTTTTCCTAAACTACCGCATTCTTGACCGTTTCTCAGGTCTTCAACCAATTATGAAACAACCGGTCACTAAGAAACACACGTTTAATTTTGTATAGAAATCTGGGTGTTACCATACCTCCAACACAGGGTGCTATGTCAAAATATTTATTTAATAGTGTATGGGATGTTGGGTCTAATAATCTAACTTTACATTTAGGTTAGATTTTAGTGTAAGTTGTTGCAATTTGATTGATATGTTTGTACATTGTTTCAGTTGACATTTGACACATTCACCGTTGGCAAGTTTGTTTCCTTCACGACGGACGGCTGCCCTGACGGCCATATGTCAATTCAGGAATCCGAAAGGCCATTAACGGGAGGTCAATGGTGCGGAAGCGCCTGGGGGTACACCGTCTATTACAGTGAAACAAGATCGCTTAATCTAACACTCCAGCTGGACAGGCTGTCCGAACAGGTAAAAATGAGGATTAAACCTTTTCACAGATCCACGCTAAATTTTCAATCCTTTCCAGGGTATAGGATACAATTTCGATTTCAAATTAGCGTACAAGTTCCTGAAGCGAGGCGAGGCCCACCTGCGCTACGGGAACCGATCCGTCGCCAGCTGGAGGGGTGACCTGGTCCCAGGGAGTTATTGTGATAGAATTTTGGAGGGCTGTGACATTAGGCCGTGTCGAATCCAGTCGCCTAATTACCCCGGTGTCTACCCGAGGAACATCACTTGCTATTACAGAGTGGAGCACAGGCAAGTGCAGAGGGGAAAACACGTCCTTCTCGCTGTCCGGCAGAGGAACAGCCACAAAGTACACATTAAAGATCAGATAGTCAAATACGATAGAAGCCAAAGGGTGTTAAGGTAAGCTCATAGATTATGCTTTCAAGTTAATATTGCAAGTTTTTCTAAAAAAAATAACGTATTTCCCATTTTATTTCTATTCAATCAGTTAAAATAATAGCACAAATTCTGCTAAATATGAAATAGTGTCAAAGTAGTCATATTTTTTTAAAAATCAGTTTGTTATTGATCCGAATCTATCATCGAAAAAAAGTGTGATATTTCGGAAAAAATAGCACACGTCATTGTCAAGTTGAGGGGGGGTCTTCTAAACGGTATATATTGTAACATTTTTAAGGTTACAGTGCTATTTTTTACGTACTACATAATTGATGCAACAGACAAGAAGAAACCTCAGAATTCTCTGTGTCTCGAACACTTATGAATGCCAAAAAAATGGATTAATCACACACTAAAGTAAGATTACGCTATTTATCAACTATTAATTATTTATTTATTCATTTAGAGATTCTAGAAGGTACAAAAAATTAATCATGTCCTATCAGTGTTGTAAATTGTATGATTTTGATGTTCTTATAATTCAGGCCCTGAGGATGACTTGAAATAAATGTGTGGTGATTAGTGACCGAGAATCGACATCGAAACCCCAGGCCCTGAAGATGATCTCAATAAAGATCGAAACGTTGGCATGATAAAGAAAATGTGTTTCTGAAACCTACATCACACCAGACCGCATCTCACGATTTCTAAATAAAAAACTTGAAATAAAGTGAAAAGCGTGGCAGAACTGTTTTTGAATTAAGAAAAACCCCAACCTTGGCTATAACTTCGACAACTGGTGAAAATCTATACATTATGACAATTCGTCTATGAGGTTTCGTGGTCCGATTGGCCAAACAAGTTCTTTTCAATTAATTAATCTTTAATTAAGGCTTTGGTTGAGATAAAAAAGTCAGTGTCACGAGCGGGATTCGAATCCACGACCTTCGGCTAAATACGCTGCTGCTCTACCACTTGAGCTATCGTGACTTCGATCCACTCGGACACCAACTTCCCATCTCAACCCCACCTTTTTGAATTTTCAATCCTTTTTGCCATTATTGAAATGTCAATGTATTTAGCCAAAGGTCATCGGTTTGACTCCCGTTAGTGACACTGACTTTTTTATCCCAACCAAAACCTTAATTAAAGATTAATTAATTGTAAATTATTACAATTGTTGCGAATTCTTGAACTGGCTAAGTACATGTGGTCACGAATTTTAGTACAACTTTTTTCGAGTTACTAGGTCGAAAAATATTAGAGGTGTAAACGGGCGTTTTTATGTACAAATACGTAAAGGTTTATATATATCAATTAGATGTTGAATCTAATTTCTAATCTAATAAGAAAATAGTTAGATTTTCCTTTTATACAGACAACAAGAAAATGGTATGTTGGATTTTATTAATTGAGATTAGATCCACAGGAAGTTTTGGATAAGTTTACAACCCTATAATTCACCTCGGATTGCATTACACCTAAACAAATGTATCCGAATCAGCGATATATAACAAAATATATTTTTTTGCTTATTCACGATCCCGCCATACCTTAGCGAGCCCTACACCGGCAGACTGCAGCAATTTATTAAAATTCTGACTCTCGAAAAAGAGTCTTTAAACTTCACACCTTTTTCAAGTCATAGCTGGTTAAAAGGGCGACTGAACAAAGGTAAAGGTTTGTAAATATTTGCCTCTGAATAAACCGTTTGCAGAGATTTTGTTGTTTTATCCTTATAGTTTTCACTTATGAAATAAAAACCAAAATGTTTTTAAAATATATCATTGACGCGAAATACAGTTTTATTAGCGTGTACATTATTCAAAATGGAATTACTGATAAGTTTATTTTAGATAAGTTGAAAACCTAACATCGGATGAGAACAATGCCCCTGGATAATAGAGCAAAAAAAAATTGCTAAAAACATTCGTATTTTACGTATTTTTAATAACAATTTTATTGGTTTAATCTAATGCAAGCGACTTTTGGTTTTTGTAACTTTTTATACAGAGTCCTTTTTAGATGAATTTCTCTTGAACCAATGCCACCTTTTTTAGAAAAAAATTGTGCAAGGAACTTCAGGCCCAGTTCACCTTCAGAATTTTAAATACGATCCTATACATCCTGACATGTAGTTTTTAAAGAATTTCTTACGCCGAAAACACTGGTGCAATCGGATTCTAAATTGGTCAAAAAATGACAAAGTTATGGCAAAAAGTTTGAAAAAGCGCGTTTCTTTTGTTTAGTTGTTAATTCCAATAACTTGGCTCTTCACTAAAGTAAACATAAATTGCATTTATTGTTTACATTCTGTCACTGTTTCTCAAACACGCATTATGAGAGCAAATCTTAATTCACGGAAGTAAATAAATTACATTCATTATTCCATTCAAAATGAACCCAAGAGCATATTTTTCCGATTAACAGCAAGTTGATCTGTACGACTGCTTTATTGATATTTTCGTGCAGTCGAGTTGTACTCCAAGATATTTCCTGATTGCCTAAGAGTAAACCATAAAACGTCTATTCGTGATGCTCGCAATATGAGGAGATACGGATCACTTGCTGGTCCGCCACAAAAAAACCAGCAGCTTAATGTCGTGGAGGAGCTACATATTTTACTTTATATGCTCGCGTAAATCCGATTCCTCTCTCCGATATGTTGAAAGGGTTTTAGGTTTTTCAACATATAAAATTAGAGATGCATTCCAGACTTAAAATTTTAAGCCGATCTTATATATGTTCAGATAGCAGTAGTATTTTCTTATTCTAGGTAGCAAATCGCCCAATATACATTCAAAGATAAAAAACTTGATTATTTGATTTAGTTGAGTATTCCAAAGTATGTCTTTTTACCGTTATGATAACTACAGCATAACTATTTTAATATAAACCAAATTAAAGAAGAATAGAAATTGATGATTTTTCACAAAAACTATTTAATTATGATGGTTTAAAAGAAATTTCTCGAACAATCCGGAAATTCATTTAGTGATAGATTAAAATTAAACTAACATATTTATTACCTAGTTTTATTCTGAATAAAGCTTATTACCTTCTCTGGCCTCGCGGAGGATCTTATGTTTCCTAGGCATCGAATAAATAAGCGATAGGATTTCGTCTTGTGAAACAGAATCCCTTTCTTCAACGAGAACGCCTTGAAACTGTTCATCGCTTCTTGGGGGCGGCGAACGATGTCTAACCCGTCTCTTTATCATGTCCTTTAACTGTTCTGTATGATTCATGTCAGAAGAACATACTGGACGATCCATTGTCGTAATCCCTACGTCCTCAAAATAATGGGTGACAACTCGAGCTAGATGGGATCCAGCATTATCATCCATTAAGATGAATTTTTCCCCAATGGAGCGAATGTGATATAAGCTTTCAGAAGAACTTCTTCAATGTAGCTTAGTGCAGTCAAAGATCCATCCTGTACGATAGTTTGTTGGCCATGGACTCCATAGATAAATTCCACCCCATACAATAAAGCGGGGAACAAACTGACGAAAAGCAACTCTATGCAACGATACCCGATGCTACCCGACGCAAATCCAAAGTTACCCCCGTGCACATCTGTCCGATGGCAGCAACTCTTCCCTCCCCTACGCCTACCCGATCCCCACTTTCCAGATTTTCGTCGGGTAGCATTGAGAACAGTTGAAGACAAAAGAACCGGACACTCACATTTTTATTCAAACTACATGTATTATTGTCGTTACATTAATTACTACATACGTATTTTAATATAAGCCAAATTAACCGAGATCAAAAATTTTCATTAGTTTTTATTTTAAAAAAGAAAATTTGTCGAAAGACCGGAATAAATTTATTTAAAACAATTAAGTTTAACAAACAATTTATTACAAGTTTTTGCTCAAAGTAGTGCATTAAGAACAAAAGAGGCGTTGCGACTGTGATTATTGTGATACACGATCTGTGACTGTAGGTGGCGTGCGCTTGACGGCGCATAGATGTGCACACCCCGCCAAAACGTCACAAGGCGACGGGTAGCATCGGGTAGTGTCGCATAGTGTATGTGTGTTCCCCGCTTAACTGTTTTAGAAAAGGCTGTTATTCAAACATGGAACATGAAGCAAAACTTATCCACTTCTTCTTCACAAATCGTCCAGTTAATCTGATTGCCACAAACCAAACCAGCACTCATCTCTGAATAAAACAGCCCCATCCCATTGTTCAAGTGTCCAAGCAAGATGCTGATTTATATTTGCCTTTCTATGCGATGCCTCCCCAGTAGTAGAAACAACCTGATGCAGGACGTCTAGAAACGTGCCTATTCACAGGAACTGTTAGAGCTCAGCCTTATATTACAGACAGTTTGGAGTTGACCCGATCAAGGAGGCAGTTAAATGACGGTTCGATAGTATGGTAAGAGCAATAAAACGAACGTTGTACATTTACCATTCTTCGATCGAGACTTCCGATGTCATTAACCAGCTGTAGACCAATGATAGATGGAGAACGCGGCACAACCAGTGGCTATTCGTATACGCTTAGCCCGTCGTTGGTCAAAGCATCTGCCCCGGGCAGATATTCTCGACTTACAACCATGCTTTTAAAACGAAGAAAATTAATTTTTTGTTGAAATTTGTTTCATCAAAGAAAACAATTTAAAAATCATTTAATTCACTCGACAAGTTGTCTCTGGAAAGGGCGAAATTGAACTGATTTCCTTTATTTTTAATCTAAAGAGTTTAAAAGGATTGCTAACACTCCATAAAGGTAAACAAAAAGTTAATAATAATGTGTTTACCTTTTAAATCAAAATCATTAAACATAGTTATTATGGAAATTAACAACATGAAAGTGTCCGGTTTTTTGTCTTTGAGTGTATAATAACAATGAAATACATGCAGAACAAAGGCTGTTAATCATATTTAAAAATATGTTTATTACTTTATTATGTCCGTAAGTTCAAGGGCCTATTGGCACGTGTATAACATTTTTCTACCAAATATGGCTATATTGTATAGATGGAAAAAGTTCATTATCAAAAA